ATATTCACTAGTATTGATTTACATTAGGACTTAGAATTTTCTTCATGTTGCGTATCACGAATTCAATAGATCCTCTGTGCAAGCAGGAGAAGGCTGTCCGTTTGTTTTTGTAGATCCACGTCTCTCAGGCGATCATTGTACTACCATTTGGCCGCCTCAATCTCACAACTTACTCACATCTCTACCGTTTACCACACCCTCCCCTTATAATTCCAGGATGATATCGTAGTCACTGCAACAGGCATGGAGTTGTTGAGTGATGTGCCCCGAGAAATCGAAGAGATAGGTATGTTCGCGTCCCTCAACTAGTCTCTACCCATCTCGTTTGACGCCCCTTGTTGTGTATTACATTCATCTGCTCAAATGCCATACTACCCTGCCGATGTAGTTTGTTACAACCGTTGCGTCGGAGTTCGTTGGTTGGCTTGCTTGTCCAACGTATCCTAGTACTTTCCAACCTTGTTCGACTTTGTTCTGTTCCTCATCTGATTGTTTTAAATGTGTGTGTGTTAATGACAAGTCATGGAGTAATAGTTCTACGGAGCCCCATGCTTGTGTCGACTAACGTGAATGATGTCATTTACCTGTGCTGTAGCGTTTCGTTAATGTAACTCAACATAACCAATACGGGTATGCTCTTGCAGGACGTATATTGAATCGTAAATCTCCTATATCACTTTGCCGAGTCTGTTAACAATATCTATGGTTCCGTTTTTAAATTTCTAGTTATATACACAGCTCTGGCCAATGAACGACTGACTTCCTGTAGTCTTGCCGTTTGTTTCCGATGGCAGCATAGCTCTATAGACAGTTGTTATCCAATCCACTAACATCCATGTGTACACTACGGATACTTCACAGAGGCGTTGATGAAAGAAGACTACGAACCCCAATGGGACACCCCCAAGCCAAGCGGCAGCAGCAGCGGTAGTAGGAGTCAGTAAGAACACATGAGAGGCCGACCAACTCGCATCTCAGCAACATATGCCATCCATTTAAATAGCATAATCTAAGAGAGCTATTAGTTATTTTAGGAGTACATATATAGTATTCCTATGTAGAACAACCTTTGTTATCGCGACATATGCAGTTCATTGTAGTGTTATATGGACGTCACCCTGTTGGTTAACAATCAATTTAAAGAGCTGGAACGAACGAACGAACGCAGCTCACATCGTGGAGTATGATGTGTACTGGTACATTGTATTCGAAGCCCCTATGTTAGAAGGGTTTAGCGGTTTCTGCACACCCGCGAGAGAATCTATTCATCATTAAAGTTACTGTTATAAAAGTTGACAGTCCTGAGTTGTAGTGTCTCTAGTGGGTGTATTCTGCAGTTTTTGCTCGTAATGGGGTTCGAAGAACGATGAAGTCTATATATTTCTATGTATATATGTATGTATATATATATATATAATATATATGTATATATATATATATATACATTTATGTATATGCATATGTATGTGAATATGTATTTATATATTTATATATATATATATATATATATACTATATATATACTATATATATATATTATTATAATATATATATATATATTATTATATATATATATAT